AATATTAAAAGAACAATGCGATAAGAAAGAAGAGGTTAAAGATGTTGAAGCCTTTGAATTACGTTATACTCCCAATAATCCTAAAAAAAGAGAATTTAAAATTTCTCTCTTGAAACAAAAAGAATTCGACGATGATCATGCTGATTCAGAAAATAAAATTCAACTATACAAAAACCCTAACAAAACAAATCTTAACGACGACAGAACCAATGAACAATCAAAAGACATATATGTTATTCGCTTTTAATAACACTTGAATATTCCTATATCTAATATTTGAAACAATTGCATTTTTTTAATCTCAGATGAAAATTAAATTGAAAGAAAGACAGGCTATCAGCAAGGTTAATACTAACATATAGAGTGATTTAAGAACAAGTCATTAGTCAAAATTTATTAAGCATATTTTGCTTTAATGTGACTGCTTTTCTTCACCCGTTGTTAATATTGACATTGTTAAGGTGCGAAACACTTTATAGTAGCGTGTCGCAAGTTTTCTTTATTTCTTTATTTATTAGGATGCGAAACACTTTATAGTAGCGTGTCGCAAGTTTTCTTTATTTCTTTATTGATTAGAATGCGAAGCACTTTGTAGTATCGCGTCGCAATTTCTCTTTCTTTCTATCTTTCTTGCTAGATATACGCATCTCGAGTCGCAGTTTGCTGTCGCGATCATCTCGAGAATCGAAAGTCTGAAAATAGTCATTCAAATGCGAGATTGAACTGATACCTTTTATTTTGATATTGTCGTGAAGATATTTCAGTTGCGTATGAATAGCTGCGAAAAATGACAAATATGAAACAATTTTGCATTTTATTTTTGAGACAATTAAAATCGAAAATATAAAGGCAAATTAGACGCTATTTAGTGTGCTTATGTATCAAACGGCTGGGAATACAGCTGATTCCATATAATGAATCATTAACCAAATTAAATTAGAGTCCTCTATAAGAAATGCATACATTTGTTATGTTCAAAAACTTGGTTGTAAGTTTTCATAGAGCCTCTATACTTATGCAGTTCCAAATATACTCTAAAATTAATTTCTCACTAGTCGTACGTATCAAAAATAATAATTTTGTGACGCGATGATCTCAAGAAGTAAACATCTGAGAATAGTTGTTGAAACGCAAGATCCTAGTTTCGAGATGGAACTGATTACATCTTTTGAGTTAGTCTCTAAAGCAACTTGTGATTTCTTACAAATCGCTTCCAAAATGATAAATTTTTCAAACCTTGCGTTTTTTTCATTTTGAGATAATTAAAACGAAAATGAAAAGAAAAGTTAAGCACCATTATCTTTGTTCATATGTTAAACAGCTGTAGTCACAATTGATTATAGATAATGAATCATACAAAGAATTAAACAATCAATCAAAATCGCCTTCAGAGGAGCTATTATAGACTATCATAGACATCTTGTCGTAATGCATTTTATTATGGTGCTTTTCAATTTTCTCACGACTTATATCAGCTGACTCGTGGAAAAAGTAATTTTTCGAACTCGATTGATGCAAAAAGGTGTCTGTATTCGATAGTCGATCCACAATTCAAGTAGAGATGACGATTATTATTAATTGGACAATCAAATTCCTTCTTACTTGACGTACGCATTAAAAGTTGTCATTTTGTGACGTAATGCTCTCGAGAATCGAATCTCGTAAAATAATCGTTGAAATGTGACTTTCACATATCGCGATCGAACCGATACCCTTTTTCGAATTATTCTCCAAAGGACGTTTTATTTCCTCAACAATAGATTCCGAAAATGACATATTTATCTAGACTTTCCGATTTTTCTCGTTTTGATATAATTAACACGAAAACGAAGAGAACTAGATGGTATTCGAGTCGAAACTCGAATACAAAATGCAGTGCGAAGCACACGTGCCGAGAATCCGAAAATTCGGGTGTGGGTGTGGGTGGGTGTGGGTGTCGGTGCGTGTCTTCTCTCATATAACATCCACACCCACACCCTCAAGATTTATGCTTTAACTATTAGTTAGCAGCAAAATCAAAGCCAGCGATTCAGAGGAAATAGCTCTAAAACTTTGGTTTTCCAAACTCTAATGATTCTATTCTAGTATTTGTTTGACATCTATCAAGTAACGAGTATTTAATACATTAATTGAATTTATCATAGCAGATATACTCATGTTCATAAACGCGAGATATAGAACAGTATTTTGAACGACACTACTTGGGCGTTGAAAAAGCTATTATATTAGCTACAATCGATACAAATAGGTGTTGTTGGAGTATATTCAGAACTTTTCAGCTCGTTTCAACTTTTACTATCTTTTCAAGGTTAGTTTTTGGCTAAATTCGAAAAAATTATGCGTATGATTTCAACTACACATTGCAGCAAGACAGTTGACTTTCTTACTTACTTGATATGTGTACACATATCAAGTCAAAATGGTTTCCTCCTATTTTGATCATTTTTCAGTTTATACGTTCATATGGATTAAGAAATTACTCTCGTAGTTCGAATTTCATCTTCTGGTAGTGTTGCCTTCCAAATCTATCGTTGGGTCAAATTCCTACGTATTCAGAGAAGAGTGGATTGGTGTACAAGAACGGCTGTCGTTCTTTTTTTGAAAATTCGATGTTTTTTCAATCAAAAAAGTTCAGATTCGCAGAAAACTCGAAATTGAAAGTTAGAAAAAATGTTTTTCGTTAAATTTAGGCGAAAAATTCCTCTATAATGACCCTAGTTATAGAGAATAGGATTTAGAAAGTGGTTAGAATTATTTCTAGAATAAAAAAACCTTATGGATTTATATTATAATATTCATAATTATCATGTTTCATTCTACCAACATATTTAGTTTTAACTAGTAAAAAAAAATTTTTCTTCATGATACCTGAGGGTAACCCCAGACATAAAAATGCTTAGTGTTAATTTTCAACAAATGAGGTTTAAAAAATGATCAGTGATGATCGTGCTTTCGATAATGTAGAAATGGTCACGCTCATGAGCACTCATATGAACGTGAGCTGTATAGCCCTAGCCCATGCAGTAGAGAAAAGAGGACAGCTTGACGATGAGGGATTCGTAAGACAAAATATGGTATTGTTGACACCGATGCAATATTGCCTTTGTGGATTGTAACATACACCAGAGCACAGTTGATTTTCAATCGGGCAAAGCGTACCATTATCACCAAGACAAACACTAGTTGTATTATGATAACACTGTTGTTGGCTACCACATAGATTCACATTTCTGTTCCAATAGTCGTAAATTGTTAACGCAAGTTGATGGATAAGTTGTCATGCATTTTGTTCCGCATGAATAAAATGGATTGCAAAGAGATTTGTTGAAGCAATTTAATTGGGACGAATTGTAACAAGTAAGGCCAAATGGAAGCCATAACTAATTGTTGTATGTTTGTATATGGCAAACTGATTCACAATTGTTACAAATTTTTGTGTTGTTATAGCAGTATCGAGAATTCGAATAGCAAGTACTATTACAGGAATTGATACATTGAATACCTGTGCTATCGTTTGCACAGCCTTGCGTGCTTGGATCAAAACAAAGACTTGAACCACAAGGCTGCTGTCCTGTTGGACAGTTGAGAGATTCTATGCTACCCAAAAACATCAAGAGCACAAAGCGTATACTGATCATTCTGTGAGAAGTTCGATCAGGTGTTGATGTAGTTGTTTGTCTCGAAAAAATCGAAATATGTGTCTACTTCGCGTTCACAATTCCATCGTTCTGATTTATAATCACTGGCTTGTTTGCAGTAACTACCTTGGGGCTTGTTGTTAAGATACAATGTATGTACACATTTCTCTTTTTTTTTTGCATTCCTGAATTTGCTCTCTTGTGTTAAAGAACCGAACCGTAAATGTATTGGAAACTTATAAGAAAATAAAAAAATATTTTGATTTCAACAATCGATAAAGTGATTTAGTCGATTAGTCTTTGAAAAAAAATCATCACAATGAAAATAAATAACTGACTGAGTATCAGATTCTGAGGAGAACTGCACTAAGCGAAAAGAAAACAACAAACTTTTCTTTCGGTGTAAAATGAACTTGTTATTAGTTGAGGAGTCGTTCATGATAAAAAAGTCAGAAAAGCATGTCCTTCGTTAATGGTGTTCGATCCGTATCACAAGCGTAAGTGTGGGTGTTAGACTTCTTTTCATTCAAAACTCACCCATATCCACATCCACACTCGTCGACACAGAACATGGATTAGAGATGACGAATGGAAAAACGTTTTGGACTAGCTCAAACGTAGCTGAAGGACGTTTGTAGAAAATATAGAAGGTTAATGATTCAGCAGATCAGTTGAAAGATTTTTGCTAAAGTTGACCGAATTAGGGATAGGAGTTGAGGGCTTTTGAGGAAAAATATGAGCAAAACAAGCAATAATATACTAGAGCTTCGCTGGAGAAAACAAAAACGTTATTCAAGATCAACAGGTCATCTCTCTCGTTGGAGACAACCCTGATATGAAGTCCAATCTAAATTTCAACCTTTTTTTTTATCATCATCAATTGTTTGTTCTAGACTGACCTCTATTGGCATAGGTTTTTTTTTTCTATTGGCCAAGAATCTATGAAAGAATCATTTACAACGTAAGATGAAGCTGTCACCACGTCATATATTTTCAAATATAAATCCTCTTTTTCATGCCTATTAACGAACAAAGTCGAACAATATTTGTAAAAAAATCATTTTTAACACAATCATCTTCATCGTCATCTATTCGTCAAGTAGGAGATAAACATCATTCATATTCATGTTCATATTGTTCAAAATTATTTTCTTCACCAAGTCATTTATCTCGACATATTCTTATACATACAGGTGAAAAACCTTGTCTTTGTTCTGAATGTGGTCAACAATTTAGTCAAATATCATCATTAGAACGTCATCAACGTACAAAACATGAAAAAGATAAAAAATTTAATTCATTAAATCAACATTTATATCAATGTAAACTTTGTCATGAATATTTTTCATTAAAACATAATTTAAAAATGCATGAAAAAAAATTACATCAAATACAAACAAATTTTTTTTGTAATATATGTTCAGCTTATTTTACTTGTAATTCATCATTACAAAAACATCGAAATTTTCGTCATCAATCATTAATTAAAAATCAAGTAGAAAATAATAAAATTCAACAATCAATCATATCTAATGATATATCAACAATTAAACTTAATAATGTGTCAGAGAATTGGACATTAACAAAAAATAATCAAGTAAGTTAAAATTCAATCAAGAATGTATCTATGTTAGAATTAATTTTCAAATTCGATAGATTCTAGAATTCAACAATTCTGTAATTTAATTTACAAACAAGCTATCGCAACCTAACATTGGTTGAGGTATATAGACAATTATGAAAGCATTCTTAGGTTCCGTTAGAGCTAACAACTTTTAATGAAACTTTCTCTTTGAGAATTCTAATCAAATATAGTTTTGATTACTTTTTTTTGTTTCAGCTTGAATCAACTACAAATATATTCGATTCATCAACAACATCGAATTCTTCAACAGATGAACGATCATCATTTTTTTCTACGGATATATCTTCAACTAATAGTAATAATTTATTTAATAGCAATAATACAAATAAACATTCCTATGAACAACAACAAGTTCATTATCAAATTCTTAAATGGAATGAAATAAATTAAAGAAGAAAAGACGACAGGGATTTATCGTTTCTCTTTTTTTTTTAATTTAAAAAATACAAAACAAAAAGTGAAACAATATTATTATTGAATATTTTATTTTGTAGATTTTTTTTTTGTTAAAAACTTGTTGTTAATTATAATGATGACATCAATGTCAAATTCATTTGAACAAACATCTACATCATTCTACAAAACACAAACTAATTGTATGTTTCAAAAAAAAAAAAAAAGAAAATTTTCTCTTTTAAATTTTAAATAATTTAATCTTTTTTTTTTAGCAGTTAAACGATTAATGCGTGAAGCTATTGAATTAAAAGAACCAACTGAATTATTCTATTGTCAACCAATTGAAGTAAGTTGATTAAAAGAATTTATTATTCATCATATGAATAAAAATTATATTTCAATAGAATAATTTATATGAATGGCATTTTACAATACGTGGTCCTAAAGATACAGAATTTGAATATGGAATTTATCATGGTCGAATTTTATTACCTCCAGAATATCCAATGAAACCACCTTCAATTATTTTTCTAACGGTAATTTTTTAGCTGATTGCAAATCGGATGTTCATTTCATTTGAAACTGAAATTCCAAGAGAAATCATCTGAAATAAAAAAAATTCGGATAAATGTTTGACATTGCTAAGATTTGGTCACAGATCGAAACCGGTCTATATTTCTCACTTTCCCGTTCTATGATGGTAATCATATGAAAAAACAACTGGCACCAAGACTAGTTCCACTAATCACATAGAGATTTATTTAAAAAAAATTTTCAAAATACCCATCAGTGAGACTATTGTTAATGAAACAAGGCTTCATTTCAAGCCTTAGCCTGTTGTCTATAGATCGATATTTTGTCGGTAGGTCGGTTTTTCTTTTATAAACTGACGTATCATCAGCATCCTGTTTTGCCCGGTAGACCGGTTCCATCTCTGGTGTATTTCAGTTCTGTATAAGGAGATTATTTTGAGTACTCTTGATAATCAAGAAAATATCAGGACCTATGAAATTTATTATTGTTAAGCAATAGTTCTCATATACATTCAATTAGATTACATTTGATTTTATCATTACTTGAAATTAAAATGTAAGAAAATTATTTCAGAATTTTTGATTTGGAAAGACATAACAAAAAAATTAGCTTTTCTCCTATCCAATTTTCACAGTATGAATCACACATAGAGAAAGTTTTTTTGATAATTTAGGCAAGTGGTCGTTTTAAAATCAATGAAAAAATTTGTTTATCAATATCTGGACATCATGAGGAAACATGGACACCAACATGGGGTGTACGAACAGCATTATTAGCGATAATTGGTTTTATGGAAACACCTGGAGAAGGTGCCATAGGTTCACTCGATTATACATCTGATGAAAGAAGAGTTTTAGCTAAACGGTAAGAACAAAAAAAGAAAAGACGAACTAATTATCTATTTAATTTTTTAACTATAGATCTCAATCATATATATGTCCAACATGTGATAAGGCTAATAGTGAACTATTATTACCATTATCAGAAAAATCAATTGATATTCAAAAACAAGCTAAATCATTAGCAAATCAAATTCATTTTCGAAAGGTTTGTATTTTTCAAATAAGTGATGTTCATTGCAATGATGGAAATCTTGATATAAGTTTTATTTTATTTATTTTAGAATTTTGAAACAACATCAAATAATAGAACAGCTCCTAAATCATCATCAAAGTCTAGTGAATTACGATCGAATTCATCAAATCAAATATTAATATTAAATGAAAATAATTCTAATAGTAACTTGTTAAATAGTATTATATTTATTTGTTGTATAGTATTTTTATTTCTCTTCATACGACGATTATTCTTAACATTTGGCAATAGTCAACCATTTTCATCATCATTTACTAATTTATAAAAAATATTTAATTTATTTTTTTTTGTATTCACTATTACTTATTGCTCAATAGTAAATTAAATTGTCTATGTTTATTTTAAATAAATATACTGAATTTGAACTATTAATCTAGAAGTCGATAAGCATATGAAGAATTTATAGTGATGACTAGTGTTTTACCACCATTAGCTTCTCTCGGGATCAAACATTTTGAATAGTATAAATTTATTTTTTGTTGGCAAGAAAAAAGAATTGATGTCCTTAGGTACAAAATATCTAATCAATAAAATTAAAACTTATTTTTGAAATAAAATACTCATGAAATTTCGAGAACTTTTATGACAATAATTATTCATTTAAATATACAATACAATTGAACTAATTTGACCTGGTAAAATATCTTTTATCTAAATTTAGAATTTTATTGTTTCCTTTTTCTATTACAAAATAAAAAAGGAAACGAATAAAATTAGTCTTTATTACTACTTTTTGATTATAATATATAAATTGTTTGTTCTTATGTATTGAAGAAATTATTCAAATGACAAATACAAATTGTTTCAATATTTTCTATTATAAACTATTGATTATTGTTGATATTTTGATGATATATAAATAAACATATTTCCTTGAGATATAATTATCTGTAAGATGACAAGAAAAATACTTCGATCTATTATTTATTAATTCGTTGCATGAAATAATTTAGATATTGATCTCAGGAGAAATTAAATCTAAAGAATTGAAATAAAATAACTTATTCATTATTATTACTATTATTATTAAGAGTAGAGAATAAGTAATAATTTTTGATAAGAATTTTTTTGTCATGATGACATCAATAAATAGTACTTAGAAGACAAGACAAGCTATATTTTTATTGCTTTAACATCAAAAGACTTAAGTTCATCATTATCATATTTAATAACTTATATTTAAATATTTCGTATATATATATTTTTTTTTAAAGTGTAACAATAGCGTAATATTAAATATCTTATATAATAGTTGTAAAATCATGACAAAATTTAAAAGATAATTTATTTTTTAAATCTCATAGAGATAATCAGAATAAATATTTAGAAATATATCTATATCTAAATATTGTGTTTTCAAATAGGTTTAATATTCAACAAACAAATTTATAAAATTATTTAGTTATATAGATTTTATCCGATGATCTTTATGTTAAAGTTGATTTATGAGATCGATAAAAACAAACTATTTTTCTGATGTTAGATCGGTTAGAATAATAAACCCAGAAGATGAGTTTCGAATGAAGAAAGATAGAGAAAACGAGAAAAATAAAAGAGAACAATCGAGCAGATGTTGATTAAATTATCCTAAACAGGACATAACAAACACTTTCGAGGTCTTTTGACAATTGAGTTGACATGTAGATCTATATGAGTGTATTTTCGATCTTCACATGTGGTATTATATAGATCTTCTTTTTCAGAGATATTGATGTAGCATTAACATTTTTCATGGGGATTGTATTAAATTATGGGTAATATTAATCCTTGTTTTTTTTTTGCTAGAAGAAGGCAATTTAGGATGAAGATATAAGCGCATATGTAGACATGAGATAATTCGTTTGTTGCTTTTTGTTTTTTCTTTTTAGTAGATTAATCTCATAAGATAGACTAGTATTTATTCAACTCATACAATTCTATAATTCGTATGATGCGCTCAAACTTTAAAAAAAGAAAACTAAATAAAAGTAAAGTAGTTCAATTAATTATTTATAATTTTTATCAATTTTCTTTCTTTTTTTCATATTGATTATTCTCGTTATGATATATGTGTGAAACAGATAAGCTATGGGCAGAGAAAAATTTATTTTTTTTCTTTTTTCTTCTCTCTCGTTTTTTTTTTTCTTTCAATTATACTAGCATTTCTTGTTTCTTCATTACCATCATTCTTGAGAAGATGACGATGATGAAGCAAAAAAAGAAAGCCACACAGTCAACAACCTGTATGATTATTTGTCACGTCCTTCTGCTTTCTCTACGGTGCAAGCTCTTATGCTCTTAATATATTGAGAATGTCTTTTATTTTTCATAATAAAATAGCTACCGAATACTACAATTATTTCTAGTGTAATAGTTATGAATATGTTTTCTTTTCTTTTTTTTTTATTCAGACATATATTGATAAAATTATCTTAACATCAATGAACGACATTTTTATTTATAAAGTTTGTATAAAGTCATATTTTTTTATGAGTTTTATATTTAGTTTAATTTGTTAAATGTGATATAATTTATCGACGGAGAATAATGTCGTAGTTTTTTTTCTTTTCTTTTTTTTTCGTCTTTTAATATCATTATTAACAATTCGCTAATCTTTCATCGAGAAGAATCATTGATCGATATGTTTATTTGTTATTTCTTTATCTATATCGATGACAATAAACATTCAAAGTACTAATACTAACATCATACGCTTCGTTTAATGCACTATCATTGACTACTTGCAAATAGATCAGCAGTTCATCCTCTTTTCTTGTTTTTCTTTTTTTATGCTTTCTTTGCTTGAGTAACGGAAACACATACACACATATACATAATAAGGCGTTCGTTTGTGAACCAAAAAATATACTTGCACGATTTGTTCATTCTCGAATGTCTTACATGGACATGCCTTCTTTTCTTTTTTTTTCATAAATATAATGATAATGTGAGATGAAGAAATAGAAGCCAAATTATACACACATACATCCCTATTTATCTAATGTGATTCAATATATGTTCTACATAAAGATAACTGTTTGCGTGTTAATTATTCATGTTCGACCTAGAATGTTTTTTGTTCTATATAAATTATTATAGAAACATCCGTTATTAAAAATTCACTAGTTTCCAATTCTATAAACATTAAAGCTTATTCTTGGTAGATTTGCGTGCAATACCTTTTTTTCCACGTGTTAATTCTTTTTCTTTTTCTGCTGTTCCTTCTTTTTTTCCGGTGTTCAGAAACCGATCTTTTTTTTTTCTCTCTCTCCTTATTTCTTCCGCATTTAGACGACACCAACGAGAACGTTTTCCGGCTTCGTGCCTACACCTCATAGCTAATAATTCACGATTTGTTCTGCGCTATAATGTAGTAACAGCCGCTCAGCAATTAACAACAGCATGTCATGCGCACACACATATATATATATAATATACATACATCTTCTATGTGTATGTTTTTCTATTCATACTGTGCGAGGCAAAGAGCACAGACAATAATGGTAAAGTTGCAAATAAAAAATGACTTTTTTTTTGTTATCTGAAAGTAGTTGTTCCAATCATTTTGTAAATCAACGTAGGAAATAATACGCAAAAAAAAACTGGTAAGTTACGAATAGTAAATAAGAAAAACAGTAGCATCAATCTGTTGTCGCCAGATTTTTCGTCCAATTTCTCGGTTTGTTATTCTTGTTATTTATATTGAAAATGACAGTCTACTTCTGTATAGATCATTTATACATATACGCACACACGTATGATACTGGCAACAAAAATAGACTGGAGATAAATAGACGACGATCATAATAGTTACAGAATCATACTACTAACAAGTCTAATCAGTGTCTATTATAAATAATAGTTCAACTCAATAATTTAATATTCTCATGTGATTTAAACTAAAATGACTTGGGAAATCGGAAAACATTAGTATAGGAAGATCAAACGAGAAAAAAAAAATTTTAATTGAGCTTTACATTCTATGAACAGCAGGCAGAGTCGGCTCTGATCTTTTCTCCTCCTTCTCGTTTTCCTTTTTTTCTTTTCTCTTTCTCAATGATATTAGAAAAACAATCGGGTGTCGAGAGTTGGTAACACGCTCAATTAGCACATTGATTTTCTGATAAAAAAAACACTGAATTTGTCCACAAGATTCTTTGAAATCATTGTCAAACAATATTCTTATACATCATCGAGTAGAAAATATTTGACAACTGCAGTCGATCAATCATTTGATATTTCCTGCTTGTTTTCTTTTGTACCCCAGCTTTCATCTCACTTATCTTCAATGGGTCAAAATATTATTCAGCTACATTATCTTATTTTATTATCAGAGAAAATGAATTCAAGGTAAAAATTTTCCGGCTAGATAAACCACAAGATCAATAATTTGATTCATTTTATAATAATTAAAAAATAACAATATAACTAAATATAGATGGATGGATAAGTGTTTGAATTATTGTATATATATATATATAGATATGTATCGAATGAAATAAAGAAGATATCGTAACAGTTGTTTTTTTTTCTCTACCTTTAGATAAATCTAGTTGCTTTACTCAACCGTATATAATGCATCACCAGTCAACATCCGATAATAAAACTGAAAATTATCATTTATTATCATCGTTTTAAATCAATTTTTTTTTTGTCTCTATCAACATATAAATATTTATTTATTTATTTAAAAATGTCATCGATGCATACATCATCAAAAATTCGTATTGGTCATCCAACATTTAGTCGATCGATTGAGTCTCATGGAAGTGTTCATTCAGCTGATATGAATTATCAACCATGGCGTCGCACAGGAACAATTTGTAGTGAAGATGTTGGTACTCAAACTGAACATAGTGCTGGTGGAAGTATATCAAGTGGTGGACGAGTATTATTAGATGAAATAAGACGACGACGAGAAGATACAATTGTTGGTATTAGTCTTGAATCAATGAAATATAATGGAGGTAATTTCTATGCGGTATAGTTTATCTCGAGAGAAAACTTACTGAAAGCAAAAAGAAAATTCTTTTTTTTTTTTTTTTTTTGTTGCTTATATGTAAATATGTATATAGCTTTCAAAAAAAAGATTGAGTTACATTCTCATGAGAGAAAAAGCAAGTTATATTTCTTTTGTTTTATCAACGATAAATTTATCTACTAATTATAGACGACGTATCTCAAACCAAATTTCATTCTCATTAATGAAATACACATATATATATATATGTATTGAGCTTTTGCAAAGAAAACAAGAGACAAAAAAAATAAAGAAAACAAAGATGGATAATTGATCGGCATTTTTTTTCTTTCTTTCTATTTTTTTTTCTGCTTTCTTTTGACTATTGCTTATTCTTAGCTATACCATTTCGTCAATTACAACGACCCGATCGTTTACCACGACAAAGTTCTCGTCAAAGTGAATGTGACGGTTCATTACATGGTGATTTGATGTCGAATACATCTCAAACAAATGCAACGGGTAATTTAAATTCAAATGTCGAAAAACAAAAAATTCGTATGTCAACACCAGCAAATAATACAACAAATTCAACTGATTTAACATCTGTTGCTGTTACAAATCCTTCATCAGTATTAATACATACAAATAAATTAAATAATGATGATACATTATCGTCTCAAACACTTGTTAATTCACGTTCCGATGAAACAAAACGTGTTGAACGTACAACACGAAAAGAATGTTTTCGTTTAGGAAGACGAAAATTACTATTTGAAAAACGTCGTAAAGCATCGGATTATGCTTTGTTTTTTGCCATGATTGGCCTTCTATTGATGGTGCTTGAACAAGAATTAACAATGGCTAAAATTTATGACAAGGTAAAAACAAAAAAAAATAACAAAACGATAACAATGAATTGAAATAATGAATAAATGCTAACTGAAGAATATATAAAACATATTCTAAAGAGATTAGAGAAGTGGTTCGTTAGTGTTTGTGTATATGTAGATTTAAGTGATCTTCGATTTGCTATTAAAGAAGCACTTGAATTATTCGTTCTTTTCTTTCTTGATATCTATATATGGAAATAAATGAGAAATAACTTTCATTGAGTTTTGCTTTCTCAATATGATTTTAATTAAAAAAACAAAATAGAGAAAATTAAAGATCATAGCCCTTAGTTTAACCTAAAAAAACGTGGATCCGTTAGTGAATCTTATTTTATAGATTTTCCTTAATGACCTATATATGTAGGGCATATTCGGCTAGAGAAAAACGCTAATGTCGTATGGTTGTTTTCTTTTCTTATTCTTGATTTTTTTTTCTTGTCGTATTTCTCATTTTGCTCATTGGTTTATAATTTTTGTTCTTTCTTTATCTTCAATTTTTTTTTTTTTGATAGTTAATGTTAAACTCATTTATATTAACTACTATATATGTTTTCAAAGGAAAGAGAAAAGAAAAAACAAATTTTTAAATTTTTAATAAGTACATAAAAATTTTCTTAATTATTGATTCGTATATAAATAGAAGTAAATTTAGTACTAGTAAATAATTATTATATATAATGACGCATAAAATAAATCTGATCAAGACAGATAATTATAATTAAACTTGTTTTATATACAAAAACAAAAAGAATCTTCTAATTAACTTGTCTTGAACAGAACTTTCTTTTTTGATTATGATTAGAATATCTAAAACTTAGTTAATAATAGAAATATGAATAAAAAAAAACCTTATATGACGTCAATATTAATTAAAATCATAGAAGTTTACTAACATGTCATAAAATACAAGTATTATTTATGTAATCATGATGTTTGTTTTTGTTGTTTCATAGGACAATTGGTGCTCGTTAATTCTTAAATCATGTATAACTTTATCTACATTAATATTAGTTGGTATGATTATTTTCTATCATGCACTTGAAGTTAAAGTAAAACATAAAAATTAAGAAACAAAAACAAAAAGAATTTATTGAAATTTATTTTTTGTTTTTCATAGTTATTTATGATTGATAATTGTTTGGATGATTGGCGAATAGCTATGACATGGCAACGTATACTTCAAATAAGTGCTGAAGTTGCAAGTAAACATATATAAAAATAATAAATATGTAATAAATAAATAATAATAACTTTTTAGTTTGTGCTATTCATCCAATACCTGGTAAATTTGAATTTAAATGGACAACACATATGTCAAATAAATCAGATTATCAGACACCAAAAACAGCTCATGTTTATATTGATATATTACTTTCATTACCTATGTTTATACGACTTTATTTAATATGTCGTGTAATGCTTTTACATAGCAAATTATTTACAGGTTTGCTTTGTTTCTTTTTTTCTTTTGACAAAGAAGAAATTATTGTTCTTGTTTTTTTTAAAGATGCTTCATCGAGAAGTATTGGAGCTTTTAATCGTATTAAATTTAATACAAGATTTGTATTGAAAACATTAATGACAATATGTCCAGGAACAGTTTTACTTGTTTTTATTCTTTCACTTTTTATTATTGCTAGTTGGACATTAAGAGCATGTGAAAGGTAAAGAAATCTTTTGTTTTTTTTTTAATTACAATGAAATTATCTTATAAGTTTATGTTTTTATAGTAATCATGATCCTAAACATCATGGAAATCTTCTTAATTCAATGTGGTTAGTTGCTGTTACATTTTTAGCTATTGGTTATGGAGATTTAGTACCAAATACATATTGTGGTCGTGCTATTTGTGTTGCATCTGGTTTAATGGTATGAGATTTTCTTTTTTTAAAAAAAACAAAATACTTCTAATTGAAAAATAATCTTGGAAATGTTAAATATTCCATATAAATGATACATGAATTTCATACTTAAATACATGGGTCAATAAAACATGCAATAATATTTTTCTAAGTTTTCTTTTTTTTTTTGTCTAAGAAGTATGTTCAAGGTTAGAAGAAGATAATAACCTCGCGGGTAATCAAAAAAAAAAAAAAGAAAAAGTAATCTTCAATATTCATTCAAGAAAACATGAAAGTATTAGAAACTGTATGAAAATGTAAAAGATCATTATATGTATCCAATCAATTCGATATAAAATTTTTCTATAACTTAATCCATATATCTTCAATGCACTCGAGTACTCGTCTTATTTAATATTTCAGTCAATCATTAAATATAGCGAAAAAAAATTTCATGTCATTATGCACGTATTAGCATTTCAGTTTACAATAGTGTTTTGCAAAAATAAATAGATTTGTTTTCTTAGACATGCAATATTGTTTCTAATGATTTAGCTAGCTGTTTTTTATTATTATTGAATTTCCAATAGATTTTAGAATACATGCTTATATACAAACATAATTAGACTAATTCAATTTTTATATGTGACTTGTTCTTTTTTTTTTGTTGCTATTCTATATGAAATATGTTGTAAAAAAAAAACATTAAAGTTTATATCAATAACTAATATGAATATTTTAATAAAACAAAATGATTTTATTTTTTAGGGTGTATCTTGTACTGCAACAATGGTTGCTGTACTTGCTCGTAAATTAGAATTAACACGTGCTGAAAAACATGTGCATAATTTTATGATGGATACACAATTAACAAAACGTGTATGTTAAATTTTTCAAAAAAAAAAGTTTTTTGTGTTTTTTTTATTGTATAATAAAAAATTTAGTTAAAAAATGCTGCTGCTAATGTTTTACGTGAAACATGGTTTATATATAAATATACAAAATTAGTAAAAACTGTAAATGTATCAAGAGTACGTTCTCATCAAAGAAAATTTCTTCATGCTATTCATAGGTAAAAACAATTATAGTTTTTTGTTTTTGGTTTTTATGTTAAGAAAAAAGACAAAAATTTCTTTATTTTTAGTTTAAGAAAAGTTAAATTAGATCAAAGAAAATTAACAGATAGTGTTAATGCTGTATCTGATATACCACGAGTAAGAAAAATTAAAAAAAATTTTTTCAATATAAAATATTTATTTCAATATATTTTAGCTTCAATCATCTGTATATGATGTTGTTTCACAAATGGTTTCAAATCAAACTATTCTTGAATCAAAATTTTATGATTTAGATTCAAGAATTATGACTTTACAGGTAAATGTAGTAGAAATAAGTTTTCCTTAAGAATAAAGTTAAAATTTCAAGTAATGATTATTATGAATACATTTCCTGTTTAAGTAGCATGAAAAGATAATTGTTATATTATTCGAAAGTACTGATTTGAACTCTCGACATCATGTACCTATAAACTATTATATAGTAGTCTATATAAATCCTAAGATAGCGTATTGTGGTTAGTGTGTATGGAGAACGAAAAAACTCTGTCTCAGACTACTGAATCTGTCATTAGGTAGTAAGATAGTAGAAAAGTTTTGTGTTATGCTTCATTTTCAAATTAGCAAGATATTTTTTTTTCCCATGCCGTATATCTATCTTGATAGTTCTAGTGGTAGATGAAAGTAGTGGCGGAACTAGGATTTTGCGGTATGCTAGATCTCAGATTTAGAGTATGGGTCCCAGTTGAAATCTATTGAGGGATGATATTGGCCTCAAATGATGAGTTTCTATCCAAAGATTTTTGCGATAAGAGTTTGCTAAAAAAAATTAGTATTTTCCTGAGCTCCCCCACAAAATTTCTAATACTGTCCATAGTATCCTATTTCTAAGCATGCCATCGCATGCTACGTTGAATTTAATCGATAAATTTCAAATCTCATATAAAAATATATTTTTGTATGAGATTTGAAATCTATCGATTAAATGCAACGTAGCATGCGATGGCATGCTTAGAAATAGGATACTACGGACAGTATTAGAAATTTTGTGGGGGAGCTCAGGAAAATGCTAATTTTTTTAACAAACTCTTATCGCAAAAATTTTTTGGATAGAAACTCGTCATTTGAGGCCAATATCATCCCTCCATAAATTTCAACTGGGATCCATACTCTAAAGCTGAGATCCAGCATACCGAAAAATTCTGGTTCCGCTACTAGATGAAAGTAATAATGTTCAATACTTGTTTTTTTTTCTTTAATACATTATTAGTCTCAAATTGAAAATTTACCAAATTTAATGGCATCAGCAGTTAATGAACAAAATAATCGTTTATGGCAACGTTTAGAAACTCATGTTCAAGCACAACTAAATACAATACGACAAACTTTCCCAACAATATCTGTGACCTGTCCTCAACGGCAAAATACTGTGTGATTTATCATTGTATATGGCACAATTGTTTGTATGGTCGTTTTCTTTTTTTTGTTTTCTCACTTTTTGAAATTTGGTGCTTTATAATTAACAAAAAAAAACCAAAAACAAATTCTATGACAAATTTCATTTTGTTTTTCTTTTATTTTTATTTTTATTTTTTTTGGCGATCATTATTACACAATCAATTGATCAATATCCATACATAGAGCAAAAGACACATGAATAAGTGTATATTTTAATCATATGATTTTACATTTGTTTATTTTTCTTGATGTTGTATGTTTTTGTTGATGTTGTTCTATTTTTGTATTTTAAATAATAAGACAAGTGAAATATGTTTTATAGAACATATATATATATATATATTTTCATTTGATTATTGTATATTTCTTCTCTTTTTTATGACCTAATATATACATTTATTTTATATTGAAGAAAAACAAAACAAAAAAAATATGAGAGATTAGATTAATTGAATGTTTTTTATTTAAACTAGTTCTTAGAAGTTCATGAATTAGAATTGTTTTCGTAATTGGAGCGATATTTAGATTATTAGTAGCAAGATATTAATCAAGTATTATTAGATTTAAACAATTGTCTTTGTCTCTTGATGATATAATGATTCTTACTTTTACTATAAGTATATGAAAATGAATGAATGTATTATCTACAGATTTCATTTGATATCATGGAAAATGATATAGTGATTATGAAATATGTCTAAAATAAAGGAGACAGAGTCTATATACACTGGTTAATAATGGTATTTTTAATAATTCATATGACTTAGTATTATGATCATATATATTCGTGACTATATGAGGATTATTAGGATCATGTATGAAGAAAAAATTAATGATGTATAAGACTTCCTAATGAAAAATATGTCGATTCTAAGTGTGATTTTGTTGAATGATAATCCGATTACAATCGAAATATATTTTCTTTTTTACTCAACTACCTTTTAAGAAGACTGTATTCATTTAATCTGATTGCTTGAAAAAATATAATTTGTCAAAGTATTTTTCTGATAAAGGAAATGGATGAATAAATATACTAATGAATAGGTGATGAAGTGTTTTAGGTAACTCGTGGATCTCTACTATTTATTAATAAGTAAACACTTTTTTTTTGTACTTTTCTAAATTAAACTCAAAAAGTTGTTAGCACAACCCATGGGAAATTAATAGGTGAACTGTGATGTAATTGAAGATGAAATTTGGCAATATGTCACTTGACTTGTGTGGATTATTATGCATCATCAATGCATGTCTTTGATGAGAAAAAAAAAAATTCATTAATCATATTAACTTTTCATTGAGTGCTGAAAGACAAGCACTGTAATCTTTAATTAGACCCCCCGAGAAATCGTCATAGATAGATGTCTTATGGCTGTTAGAAAGGAATAAGAACATTCCAGGTTTTTCTTTATCAAATTCGATTATATGTCATAGTAATTTCATAGAATAATTCAATATCATGATTACAGTTTTTTTGGTATTAACACAAAGCATGAAATTTCTTAAGAAACAAATTAACTTTTCAATCAATTAAAAATGTCTTTTGCATCAATAAGACAAATTCACATACTAGAGCTCACACTAATGATGAGAACATTTTTAGATAAGATGTTTTGTTCATTTTAATTTTCTTGAAAGCATTTCAAATGAACCCAAAAACTATAGGTTACGATGCTATGTTTATTTTTTTGTTTAAGAGTATTCAAAGACCTGAAAACTATATTTTTAATGATGAGCAAACAGGTTTTTGTTTATCCTATGTAATAAGTCTTTTTTTAGACATGTTAAACAATTTTGAAGTCAGTCATTTTATAAAGCAGACACTTGTCTATAAAATGTGATAGTTAAATAAAACTGTAATTTTCTAAGATAAAATAGTTTTTGGATAAAAAGTCAAAATGAACTTTTAAGAAAAATGAAACATTGAAGTGTTTTATGTCGAAATATGAAATAATGCACTTTATAGAATAACTTCGGATCTACAAAGTGATATATAAACAAAAATCTTAACTTTTGATGTCGAATTACAATAATGGAAATACAAAATTTTTTCACCCAAACTATTTTTCTTCTTTTTGCTTTTTTTAAAGATTATTTCACTGTTGTTAATTGTCTTAGTTTAAATATTTATTAGAGATATACGAGACCAAAAAAAAAGTTTGCTTCCATATATTTCTCATATCAACAAAACACAAGGTATTAGTAATAAATAAGTATCAACTGAAACAAATTTCCTGAAACCATGTTTTAGTTTATTGTTTTTTTTTCTTCCTTGAGCAAAATCAAAAGCACATAACTTATTGATATAACAATAAAAAAAACCGACTAAAGAGAACAAAAAGAAAACAAAAGAGGAATGTATACATTTAACTGTATACATTATCGTCCTCAAAAACAACAAAAACAAAATGAAGACATATATAACAATCACATATTGTTTTTTGTCTATGATTAGAATAGATGAGAAAGAAAAACAAAACAAAACAAAAAAAAAATCAGTGATTCTTCTAATATACGCAAAACAAAACAAAAAATTGCTTAAATTAACTATCAGAATTTGCTGTTGATGATACTACTGATGAATCTAATACAGATTGTTCTACTTGATTCGTTGATAAACAATTTGAATTATTTATTAATGTTAAATCATTAATATTTGTTATTTGTTGTTGATTATTAATCATTTTTTGAATATCAACATTAATAGGACGTGACTAAAATCGAAAATAAAACAAATATTTTTATTTAAACTAAGAGTTTGTTTTTTTTTTTTTTTTTTTTTATTAATAATTCTTACATGTCCATGACGTTTTGTTAATTGAATAAATGGTGTATTATCATAATGATAACCAGTGACAATAGCTTTAAAACAAGAACCAAGAATTGTTGTTTTAACTAATTCAATTGATTCCGATGTAAAATCTTCTTGATCTAGAATTAAAATAATAATTCATTAGTAGTTTAAAATTACATCAAAATACTGTAAAATATTTTCGAACTTAAAGTACACTATTTTTCTTTAGAATTGGCCAGTGATTTATCTACTGGGTGGGCTGGACGGGCGCCGCCCACCCGAAATTTGGATTCGCCCACTCGAAAATATACAGCAGCCATTCGTCTACTGGGTGGGCGGCATGGGCGCGCCGCCCACCCGAAATGTCGACTCGCCCACTTGAAAATATACAGCAGCCATTCGTCTACTGGGTGGGCCGAATGGGCGCGCCGCCCACCCGAAATGTCGACTTGCCCACTCGGAAAACGAAATCTAGATAAAACACTGGGATTGGCTATAATTTATTTTTCTATAATCGATATTACTTTTATCTTGTATATACTGACTAAGTAACCAATTAGAAGCTGTCAGATTGAAAATTTTTCCAACTCGAGTTTTATATTTTCGATTTCTTGTAGAATGAATGCAATTTGCTGAAGATTAATCGCAGAAAGCTTAAGTACATCTTATTTTATCTATTTTTTAGAAGTTTTAAACTTTTTTTGTCTACGACTTACACATAAATTATATTTTCGAACTTATGATTATCACTCTATATTTATTTCTAATTGATATGTTGAATTCCGAATATTCGAACTCTATAGTATAGAAATTGATAATTACTTACTATCAGCTGGTACAACATTATCAAGATAAACTTCAACTGCTTGAAATGGAATAATCATAAAATCTTGCCTGTAAAAAAACAACCAAAATAAAATTTTATATAACAAAAAAAAAATATTATTTAATTCACCTGAGAACACGTAAAGAATTTGCATGTACATAAAGATAACCTCCATAATCAAGAAATTTAATCATAGCCATATCTTGATTACTATTATAGACTGTAATCAATGCTCGAAACCAACCAGCTTGTGTTGGTGCTGCACATATAATACCAGCTAAATACATCAACAACAAAAAAAAACTCCTATTATTTTTTTATTTCATAAAAATAATAATAATAAATCATACGTTGAATAGGTCGAGGTAAAAGTGGTGTCATTTCTGTATGATGATAAAAAACTGACATTGAATTATCAAGACGACTAAGTTCAGGATAAGATGGATGTAAAATTTGTTGAGCAAATATATGATTACATGAAACAACACTTGTAACAAGAACTTCAGTTGGTATTCCATCTGGTAAATAAAGCTTTAAGACAAAAAAAAAACAAAATGTCAATATGGGCTTTCTTTGTTTTTTTTTTAGAAAATTAGATACTTGAGCAATTGAGGAAGGTATTGGTACACATTCAGGTGGACGTTGTCGTACAATAATTTTTTTATTTATAGGTTTAAATGTTACTTGTGGATAACGATCAGATGGAAAACGTTTAGCTATTAATTCAATAGCTTGTGCAACATCAACTCGACGACCTATATAAATTATATTTATAATAAGAAAATAACAAAACAAATTTTCTTTTCTTTATGTTGAATACCATGTAAAGCAACAACTTGTTTTTCATAAGAAATTGCATCATCTCGTACAACTAAATCAACTTGTGCCATTTGTCTTATATAATCAACATGAACACCTTGTCGACCAATAAGACGACCACAAAGTTCAACAGGAAAATGAAATTCATAGATTATTAATTCATTTTCTTTTGCTTCCTAAAAATAAGAACAATTATCAATGTAGAACTCATATATCTTATTTAACTTGATTAAATCTATGATGTAAACACTTGTAAAAAATTCATACAATGATAATCATTTAGACTGTATATAGATTTTCGTTGCTGTTCGTATGATACTTATTTTCTTTTCATAATTTGATTGACAAAGAAGTCTGTTACATACATTTGTTATATCTGTAGAGAGATCTTAACGATCGATAATATATCTCAATAGAATCAGTAAGGCCGATATTGATTATACTCGAAAGTAAGACGCTAATTTGATCATATATAACAGTTGTAAGTAATCAAAAGATCATCTATGATATTTTATATCTACACAAAAATCAGTAATCGTATTATTTAGAATATTGATAATAAAGATTTCAAGGAATATTCTAAGTATTGTTATTAATATTATTCAACATCTTTAATTCTTATTGCTAATGTCTAGCATGAAAGAAGGACGAAGAAAACATAAAAGCTTTTAATTTAAATTTCCACTTAGGATTATTTTCTTCGAAAAAAAGATATACGCAAAATTTCATAAAATAAAACTATATATAGACAATCAATTAAGATGAGATTAGAAGAAATATGAAACTAACAAAAATTTTTCTAATGGAACATTATTTTCTCTATTATATTATTCACATAATAGAACAAATGACTATTTAAACATTTTTCTTTTATCATAATACATCAGCTGCTCTATTTAATGTAACTAGAGCAATTGACATTCGATTCCTCTTTGTCGCCTCTCAATCTCGAGGGTCTTTTTTTATTTTTTTGCTTGATCAATTTATCACAACATGACAATCGTTTCTATTTTGATTACTTCAAAATGTGAGTGCATTTACCTTCTCATTACTTGTTGATGAAGGACTACCAATAATTGGTGTTGTTTCATTACAATTATTATTATTATTTTCTTCATTTTCCTTCTGTTGTTTATTGTCATTATCGATCATTTTATTCTTTTGTTTAGACTTTGACATTAAATTTTGATTGTTAATCTAAAAAACAAAAATTTCTTTTTAGAAACTCGATAAAAGATATGGATCTTAGTTGTTTAAAAACTAACTTCAATGTTTGATGACGATTTCTAATAAGAGAAAGTCTTGAGCTAATGTAATTTCTTTTATCAAGAGACACAAAAAAAAATCATATCTATAAATTGCTCTACTTTTTCACTAGTTTCTACTTAATATCATAAGCCGACACAGATTTCCTAGTAGAGCCCTTTCTGAATAATCTCCTCTATTATGGATCATTTGATATATATTGCCTTTTTTACTGCTTTCTTTCATATCGGTTCGCCTATATATACACGTTCAAAAGACAATAATATTAGAAACAATGTTTTATAAAGAAGCTATTAAGTATATTTATCGAGTGAAGTGAAACGTGATATAAGGATAAAAATTTCGACTCTCTATCCGCATCATAAAGCGTGACAAACCTTGACTTACAATTACAATCCAATCATGATTAATGTTTCTACATCATATATTTCATATTGTATAATCCCCATAAGGATTGCACGAGTAACTTTTAAATAGAAAATTAATTTTGTTTCGTTGATGAATTTTCTAAACTTTTAGTTTTACTTTAATCTATTTATTTATGAATTTCTTAGCTGTTTTTTTTTTGTTGTCTGTATAAAATCATAACACATGCGCAAATAGCCTATCTGATAGATTATTAAAAAAAAACAACAATTACTTTCACATTACCTCCTCAGCTGGCATTGCTTGATATTCGCCACACTTTTCTATAATCCTTGATCGATAATTGTATCCTATTTAAGACGATAGATAACAATGGAAAACAAAAAAAGGGAACAATGAATAAACTATACTTCTATCTATTGGTTTTTTTATATAACCAATAGAAAGATATTCAATGAATAAAAATGCATTTGTGAATTAAATAATAAACATAAACCATTTCTATATTTTTCAATCCTCAATAAAACTATTTGTTCATGAAGGAAAAAAAAAATCAAAATCTTAGTAATGTTTTAATTGCACAACTTACATATATATAATTTATAGAAAAAAAAAATCTATTGATAATTAATTGAACAATTTTTACCGTCGTTGATTTATTTTTCTCTTTATTTGTATACATAAATTTTTTATTTTTTAATACGTATATGAAATTAATACAATGACAACAACGTCCAATAGTTTACAAAAATTAGTTGGAGAAAGTATGAAAATAAAAAAGGAAAATTCATTGATTTATATATTTTTTTTTAAACTAATTTAGAATTAATTAGAGATATGTTACGATGTGAATCTGTTCGACAAAAAGAACGAAATGATTGGAAAGTTCTTGTTATGGATCGTTTAGCAACACGAATTATATCTGCATCATGTAAAATGCATGATATTATGTCTGAAGGAATAACAAGTAGAATTTACTTTGTTTCTTTTTTTTTTTTTTGTTATGATTATATTTATTTGATTAAATTTTAGTTGTAGAAGATATTATGAAAAAACGTGAACCATTAGGAATGCTTGAAGCTGTTTATTTTATTCAACCAAATGAACAAGTAAAATAAAATAAACAAAATTTTTAATATATTTATAATAAATTCTATGACTTATTTCTTTAAGTCAATTAACGAACTTATTAATGATTTTGATAAAGTAAATGCAATAGTACCAAAATATAAAGCAGCACATGTCTTTTTTACTGAAGGTAATTAAATAAAATACAAAAAAATATGATATATTCTATTTTGTATATATTAAATTTCAAAAATAAATATATTTTTATTGTATGTATATGTTTGTAAACAACAAGGTGACTATTTGTTGTTATCTAAAATCATACTTTTCTGTGTTTTTTTTTGTTCTGTTTACAAAGGTAAAGATATTATTAGATTAATAGTAAACATGTTGTTTTGCGCTCAAAAAATTGGGAAAAAACCCTGTTGAATTAATTTCCGTATGACAAAAAAAGAACAGAACGAAATTGTAGATACTTTGAATGTATAGAAAATCTTCATACATATCAGATGATAGAAAGAATATTTAACAATATAATGAATTTTTTTTTTGTATATGAAATCTGACCAGTAATTTTAATATCCTATGGAGTTTTCGTTCTAATGCATTCTATACTAAATGAACTATGTTAACAACGGTCAACTAGAGGTTTCCGAGAATGTTGCCGAAACTATTTGAAAGAGAACAATAGGACGAGTCGCTACATTGTTTACGATCGTTTCTTAAGAAACTATTCGTATGATCCCTGTAGAATTGAATTGTGAAATACAATGTCATTGTTATTGCTAATTACATGGAGATTGTTTTATGTTTTCACACAAATTTCTTCTTTCATCCGTTTGCTTAAGCCTTGAGAAATACAATAAGGAAGTAGTTCATATATGATTTTATGATTGTATATAGACAGTATCTGTAAGAGTCTAAATTTCTATATTTATATTTCGCATTTCACAAATGTTAAACTTTTGTTTTTTCTTTTTATCCGATACTGTATGAACCATTTTTTTTTAATAGATCGAATGAGTATATATGAATTTCAGAGATTAGTAACATGTACTATAAGTACATTAATTTGAGTTCAATGTATATAACTTTATCTTGTAATAAATTTATTATACTTTAAGATTTATATCTGTAAAGTACACATAATTATTTCTGTTTGAAAGTCATCATGTCCTATACAATGATGATGATGACTTGTACTCATAGAGTATTTTTAAAATTAATCATTTGTTTTTTTTTTTTTTGTTAGCATGCAATCCTGATTTATTTACAAAATTAACTCAATCAAAATGTGCAAAATATATCAAAACATTACGAGAAGTTAATATTGCCTTTTTGCCATATGAACGTCAAGTAGAGGAAAAAAAAAATTTGTTTTATTAATATCTATACATATGTTTTTAAGGTTTTTACACTTGATTCACCTGAAACATTTTCAATTGCATATGATCCATCACAATCTCATCGACGAGCTGCACATTTAGAAGTTATTGCTGAACAAATTGCAACATTATGTGCAACACTTGGTGAATATCCAACAATACGCTATCGATGTGAAAATGAAAAAATGCTTGAATTTGCACATGCTGTACAACAAAAACTTAATCAATATAAAGCTGATGATGCAACAATGGGTGAAGTAAATAATTTTTTTTTGGGGGGATGTTTTTTTACATTTTGTAATATAATAGGGTGGTGATAAAGCAAAATCAGTTTTACTTTTATTGGATCGTGGTTTTGATGCTGTTTCACCATTACTTCATGAACTAACATTCCAAGCTATGTCACATGATTTATTAAAAATTGAAAATGATGTTTTTGAGTATGTTCGAAAAAAAAAAATTATACATTTTAATAATAGAAAATTTTTCTTGTATTTTATTAGATATGAAGCTCAAACAGCTGCGGCAGATCCAAAATTAAATGCAGGACAAAAACAAAAAGTTTTATTAGATGAAAATGATGAACTTTGGACTGAACTTCGTCATCAACATATTGCTGTTGTTACACAGTATAGAATTTTTTTTTTGACATGATTATATTATTCTTGTTCTCTTTTATTTTCTTTAAGGAGTATCACAAAAAAAATTAAAGATTTTGCAATACAAAAACGTGTTAAAGAAACTGAAAAAGGTGACCGTACAACAATGAAAGATCTTTCGTATGTTAATTTTGTTTTTTTTGGGAAACAAAAAAAGAATGAATTTTTTATTTGATTAGATTAATGATTAAAAAAATGCCACAATATCAAAAAGAATTAAATGCATATGCACTTCATTTTAATATTGCTGAACAATGTATGAATGCATATAATCGAGGTTCAGGAGAAAGAATATGTACTGTTGAACAGGTAAGAGAATATTTATTTTTTTATTCAATATAAATTTTGTAAGGAAGATCAAAAACTATAATTTAGTTTGTTTTTTTTTGCTTCAAAAATTAGCAAGTATACTTCCGATGAAAGAAAAAAGATATTTTTAACAAAGCTAATATCATTTTGCGATGTTTCAGATTTAAAACTTAATAGTATGAGAAATAATTATCGCTGTGAGTAGGTGTTAATTATATGAAGAAAGATAAAAAAAATTGTTTGTCATGAAAAATAATAAAATCTTTACAATATGAAATAATGATTTGAAAATCAATATTAGAAAATTTGTATTGTCCTTGACTTTAAATTTAATTCGAAATTTTTTTTTTTAAAATATTCTAATTATATTAAATAATTCAAATATTTATGATTTATTTTTCTAAAGAACAAAAAAAAAGGACAAATGAATATTTTTTTTCGAATTCTCATAAATTCATATTAAATTTTTTTTTTATTTTTCTCAAAACTTAT